AAGCCTTCGGCAAGTTGACCGCACGACTTTGACGTAACAACTGATACGGGCAGTTCTGGGCCACTGTACGAAGAGTGGTAATTTTAATTCGTTTTCCAACATAATCATAACTTTGAAAAATAATAAGTTTGTTAAAGAAATGCTTTAAAAAGAAGATAGCTCGGCCATATTAGCTAAACTACGATCGAGTGAACTTAAATCTGAAATAATTAAAGTTGTCCAAAATTTTACTCCCTTGTCTTAAGTGAACACTTCATTCTTAATAATTAATTCGGACACATATATAATATATCTTGCCTTGTCTTGTCTCACTCACATTTTTTATTTGGCATGAAAGTATTTACTAAAAGTTTTCATTAGACTTTGTGAACGGTTAAAAGTTATCGATAAGAAATTGAATTCCACTGTTTATCTAAAAATGTCGGGTCGAGAAGGGTTAAATTTTATCGAATAAAGTTTTGAATTTAAAGGTGTTTTCTAATATTAGTATAGTTTGATTAGCAAAACCTAAGGTCAAGGCAAAGATTTCAAATTCGGGCGGTGCTAGATATGTTATCTTCCATAATAACAGCTACTGAATGTTGGAGTGATTCTTGCAATAGCAGTATAAATGTTTTGAAGGTATGATCGCTCTTGTGTAAAAGCTAGAAATGAAAATATAAAGTGTTTTTCTTTGTTTTAAAGGATCTTTGGGGCTTTTGGCGGATTTCTGAAATTGTTTGCAAAACTTTCGCGAAAGTCAATGTTAATCCTAGGAAGTCTGGGTCCAAGTCCAACCTCACGCAAAATTCTTCAAGGTCAAGTTCAATGTTACAGTTGAACTTGGCCTTATTACAAATTCGTTAGACACTATATGACGAAATGTATTCCGCGTATGAAGGAATTTAAATTCCATCAGGGCTACGACTGGTTTAGGTGCCGGACCAACCTCAGTTTGCCTTATGCATTGGTGAAAGCCTTTGTTTTATACTGTTATGGAGTGAAATCGCTAAACCCGTGAAATAGATATTGGACTTATACAATACACATTGGTAGATCCTAATCCCATTGTTTTCCATTGTATTTCTTTATTTTATAGGTTAATTTGCACAGTAATTAACCGAACTTAAAACGGCCTATTGAGCAATAGACCGATCCGGCGGATCAAGCTGTCAACCCAAACAATGGGTAGTTTTCTCAACTAGGACAAAACTCGAATCTCTGACCAACAAACTCGAACCAAGAGAATATGAAGTAAGCTTACTTAATACAGGCATTGACAATTTCCAAAAACACATTTTAGTTTTACATATTTCTTCCTTCCTTCCTTCCTTCCTTCCTTCCTTCCTTCCTTCCTTTCTTTCTTTCTTTTCCTCTCAGCTGTATGAGGGACTGCTATTTACGTGGTCGATCATCCGTGCTTCGGGGAAAGCAAAGAAAGCATGGCCGAGGCCGACTGCTTACTGGAGAAAAATCTCCTGGACCCAAAAAGGAAATAACAAATTTTCACCTTAAGATAAAAAACCACCAAATTTTCATCGATATTTTATCTGTTTTTAATCCATTGAAAAAAAATTGCCCATACATTTGGTATATTTGCTCTTTTTCCTCTCTTTCCAAAGCAAAAGGTTGTTCTTAAAAGCAAAGTTATATAGCACAAGTAAACTGCGTCACACAACTTCCTAAATGACCCGTAAATCTTCTTTCTTTCGCTAACTACCGTAGTGAGCGTGTTTTCGAGGCTACGAAACCTAAGAAACCATAAGAGGCGAATGTATAGGCCAACAGATAGTATGAGCTTATAAAATCAGCAAAAATACGGTTCTAAATTTTAACAAATTCCTATCCACTTCTGTTTTTTTGACAGGTTCTGTTTTATTTCAAGGAGAGACGATTTTCTAGCTTGACCCCGGTTATGTCATGCATTTTCTCTTGTAAAATACATGCAATAGCGTACATTCAACTCAAAAAGTACGGTGGTTTTTTTCAATAGAATTCAATCTCAGTCCGTGAATAGTTGAATTAACTTAATCCACTTCTGTTTTTTGGCCTAGATAATCATTATTTTGAGAAAAGATCCAAAAACCGTGTTTTTGAGACATAATTTGTATAAGCTCACATGAGGGGGCGTGAGCTTAAAATCGTAGCTGACCAAATGTTAACAGATTTTTTCTGATGCTGAGTTTCAATGCTGAGCAAGGGAGGGGAGGGGAGTACGAAATTGCATCGCTGGCTCAAGTACACCGGAAGTACACCTCGCGCATGCGTAATAATGATGTTATGTCTGGTTCTTGGTTGCCTTGGAGTCAGAAAAATGGCGGCCAAAAAAGAAAAAAAGTCAACTTTAAAGGCAAAAATAACCTTAATAGAACCGAAATAAACCTTTATCCAAGCCACATAAGATGTTTTCTTTAACAGAGGTCGGAGGAAATTCATCAGAAGTTGGAGAAATTCTCGTGAAGGTAGGTTTTTTACTTGTACAAATATTTTCTAACTTTTCGTGGTAGACGCCAGAAAATGCTTTTTGAATTATGAAGAGATAATGTACAACTTTCGTAAAAAAAAGTTTAAAAGCTGTGAATGAAAATTTCTTTTCCAAATTTCTTCAAACAAAGCTCGATAATTTGATGAAACCTTGAGATAATTAAGAGAAATCTGAAGCTAATGGCCCCTTTGTTAATAAAAATCTTTATTGAGTTAACTTTTTGACTTGTTTTTCTCATTAGTAGTTCTAACTATTAAAACGTTATTGTAATCGTGAACAATTATCAATAACTTATCTCTTCCTGAAAGTTTCCTGAAACAAAAAAGGACGAAAACAGGGACTCAAACTGATACCTACATAAGATTTTTATTTTATTTATTTAGTAAATTTAATTAATAATAATGCTAAATTATTATTATTTTTAAACTTTTCTCGCTTATATTTATCATGGCATTTTCATCAGGTGCAAGATGATTTGCGTCATCTTAAAGAACAGCTTAAAATCGGCACCACCCAAATAATAGACATCCAATCACTGGAAAGTGCAATAGAGAGAACGGAACAAAGTGTTCGGGTAAGTGGTTACCTGGAACCGCAGAGCTTAGTTTTGGATGGGGTATGATGGGGCTAATCTGGGTTGTTAGAGAAATTGTCCCAGGCCACACACAGTGGCGATCATGGTTATATGCTAGAACAGTAGTGGTTGTTAGGGTCTCAACAATATCCAGAGGGATTGGGGTCTCAAAGGTATGACATAGGTAAGGAATGTATCCAGACTTCACATACTTCCAGAGGTGGAGGGGAGTCAGGATGGATGGTGGTAAGATTCTTGCCTCTCACTTCCAGGGTTCTATTCCCATTTGTGAAATAACTTAATATCTATGTATCAAACAAATAGGAAAAAGCAGAACAAGTGATTCAAGCATCCAACAACAAAGTCCTTACCCTACCGCTACTTGATCAACCAGGTGCTAGAAAAAAAACTGACTCCAATAGGTAAACTTAAATTGCAGTGTTATTGCATGTAAAACTATAGGCTTGGCAATGATCATAAATGTATTCAAGTAAATGCATATGAGTCTTTCAATGCAGGGCTTAAAATAATGGCCAGTTAAGGGACAATGTCTGAACAATATTGGCACTTGTCTGGCCAAACCCCTCTTAGACCTGTCCGTTGACTGGTCACATGTTAATAATGAACATGTGACCAGTCAACGGACAGGTCTAAGAGGGGTTTGGCCAGACAAGTGCCAATATTGTTCAGACATTGTCCCTTAACTGGCCATTATTTTAAGCCCTGCATTGAAAGACTATTGCTCTATTTGCTTGTGCAGTCATGTCCAGGCATTGAGAATCCATTATTTTTAGCCCTGCCATGCATTCTTTTATGTCCAACCTTAATTTGAAAGCATTTTTTTCTGGTTCATCATTAAAGCATGTGATCAGTAAAAGTAGTTATTTGGAGCTCTTGTTTTTGGCATTATTCTTATTTATCTCAATATCGATCAATCAATCAGTCAACTATATCTAAGGAGGGTGACACGTAACAGTTTTCACCAACAAATCTTTGACCCATCTACATGTATTAACTGTTTGTAGTGACAAAGCTTCCAACTCTTCAAGAAGTAAATCTGCTAAGGAACTAAGGTACAAATTCTGATAATTCTATTTGTGAATGGGGGATTGAGATGAAAAGGCAGTAAATAGGGGCTGCGAATGGGGGATTGAGATGAGAAGCCAGTAAATACAGGGCTGTGCATAGGGGCCTACGGATGGCAAAAATGCAGGACAAATTTTATTACTGGCAGTCTAGGGGCCAGGGAGGGGCTGATGACGTAATGCTGTGCAGTTCCAGAAAATATCTTAAGAATCTTGTGGGTTTTTTTCTTTTCTTTAGTTACAGAGGTCTTTTAGAACCACTTGCTATTGCTAAAGAAGGAAACAGACCAGGTCCAAATGCTCCAGCTCCTGGACAACAGGTATTCTAGCTGATAGACATAATAAGTAGTAGTTTTTGATAGGAATCAAGATTGGCATTAATGATATTGGTAGATCAAAGTTACTACTGCTGCAACACCCTTTGACCATTTAAGTTGATGTTACAACAGACAATTAGCAATGACAGCTTTTGTTGTGCAAAAAATTGCTTGTGTAACATTGCAGACAGTTAATATTTTTTTGCAGCAAAATGTTGCAGGTTTTTGAACGACTTTCAAAACTCACAACATCGTTGCCATCATTTCGTGTTGCCGCATGTTCCATGTTACATGAGGTCAACTCTTAACATAAATTTTGTGCTAAAAATCATCTTGTGTAACATCGTAATTTAGGTTAATGGTTGAAACCAAGAGGTGAGAGAGGGGATGTTCTCTCGGAGTATGACAACTTGTTTATTATTTAAATAATTATAGGCAAGGAACCTGAGAAACCTACAAGTAATCAGTAACCCTGCTAATCCAACAGCTCGTGAACTGTTAAGTGAACGATATGGGGTGGCTCTACCCAATCTTGGAAGTAAAAGAGACCAACCAAAAGAGGTACTGAGGAATAGAAAATGCACCTGAGTGCGGTGTGCAGTTCAAAAACATGCAGGGATCGGGAGAATGTAAAAGAAATACAAAATGTGTTACGAAAAGCATGAAGTACAGTGGAGTGCTTTTCAGCACCTCTTTCAAGTGTTCTCCCAATCTTCAAGTGCTTTATTACTGTACTACACACAGCATAACAATCAAGTTTTTTCATTTTGTTCATAAATTATAAATTAGAGTAGCTGTTATTTAGGACACAAATGACAAAATAGAAAGACTGTAATAATGTGAACACTCCAAACCAATCAGAATGTTATACTTATGATTTTATGATTTTATAATGAATGTACCATATGTTGCACTCACTGATGCTAAATATGTGATAACTCCATTAGTTTGGAATGAATCACAACAGTTTTTTTTTAGGATGTTGCTATTTGCTTGGTGTGCATTATAACTCACTATGGCATTTTTTTCTTGATAACTTCAAGGTCCCAGGTAAGATAGTCACAGGACCAACTGCAGACCACCTTAACACCTTACCGAAGGCCAATAGAGTTGATGCCTCGGTAAGTGCTAGACATATGAATCAGGTCTATTTTAAAATAATTTATGCATTTTAGTTGATGCAAAAAGAAAAGAAAGGCTATTTGGCATTGCATTATGATTGTCATTGTCATCATTAAATATTACAATAACCATCTCTATTTCATCATCACAATCATCATCACCATGCATTTAATTTGCCATGAAAAAAAATATTGTATCATTATTTTCCCTACCATCATCATTTTCTCACCACTTATCACCATCATTATCATAATTACCAATAACACCATCCTTGTCAACATTGTTTCCACTGTCACCATCATCACCTGATTACTGCTGTCACCATCCCCATCATCACCATTATCACCATCATCATCACTCCATCACCATCAACAGCACTAGTACTATCACCTAGTTTCATTCTTGATTGTGACTTTTCTTTCTGTTTTATAGCGCACACCACCTCCCATATCTGAAGAAGATGCAAAGAAGGGCATATTGAGTCTCATAGAACGAGGGCTTATCCCGGTAAGCTGGTTAATTTTATTAAGAAAGGGGTGACACTTGAAAGTCCAACTGAGGTCTGACAAGCTTTTTGTCCTGCATGTATAACATCTCTCAATAAAATGGGACTACATGTACCATTTTACATGATCATACAAATCATGGCAAAGATCTAATATATATACTTAGAGCAGCACCTGCCTTAACTGCTTGTTGATCTGACTGAGTCTATATTCTCTGTCCTTCCTCATAACAGGACTGGCCTGGTACCCAATCAACTGAGCCAAAAATATGTGGTTGTTTGCACTCATCAATTTTCTTAATTGTTTATTTGATGATCCTGAATCTTTCAGTTTAGAATATCGTTTAAAACTATRTTTCTGACAACTATCTCTCTCAGCCTGCTGCAGAACTAACCCTGAAGCCATCTCCTGTACGTCATTACCAGGCTCAGGTAAGTTAATATTACCAAATAATACATAAGTAACATTTATTGTAAGGTGGAAGAGTGTACTCATCAATAAGAACAAATTATATGCCAGTACGCTGACTTAGGACTTTATAGGGTACAATATGGAAATCCATAAAACATTGATTATTAGAAAAAAACAAGAAGGGAGGGAGGGAGGAAGAAAGGAAGGAAGAAAGAAGAAAAAAAGAAAGAAATAAAGAAAGAAAAAAAGAAAGAAAGAAGGAAGGAAAGGAGGGAGGGAGATAGGGAAAGGGAAGGAAATGGAAAGAAAGGAAGAGAAAAAGGAAGAAAGAATCCACAGAAAGAAAAAATGAATGAATAAATAACAGAGAGAGAGAGAGAGGGAAGGAAATTTTGATTTTAATATTATTATCAGTAGTATTCAGAATCAGTCCATGTGAGCTGATGGTATCTATTTTGCATTTATTGCAGCTTCATGAACTCAACAGCCAAACCAAGGTCCGTGCAYCTCCCCCACTCGATGTTGTAGGAGGTAATTGATTCATTCTTTTCAATAGCCTGCGTAGCCAGGCGTTCCTTGTGGGGTTTGGGGAGGCTTGGACACAAAACCCACAAGGAACGCCTAGCTACGCAGGCTATCTTTTCAACTTTTAAAGATACATCTGAATYCTGAATTGTTTTTACTGTTTTTCTAATGCATACCTCTAATAATTTCTTTTCAGTTGGAGGCTACAATTTAGCAGATGTTAAGGTAACTATATATACAGTAATCATATAACTAAGTTAGTATGCACACTCTGATTGATTGAGAACTGTGCTGTATCAATGAACAGAGCATGGTTGCTCTGTTCATAAATCACATGAGGGTTGGCAGAATCCGAGGGTTGGCAGAACATGAGAGAAGTGTTGGGAGAAGCACGACCTGTAGGGGAGTGCTTCTGTACACTCCTTGAGTGTTCTGCCAATTCCCAAGTGCTTTATAATGGCACACAGCACAACATGCAAGCTTTTTATTTCTTTTATAAAATACAAATTACAATAACCGTTATTTTAGATAGGAATGATGCAATGGAAAGTATGCGCGCATGCAATGTGCTCTCATAAAGCACACGCTCCCAAACTATCAGAACGCGACATTCACTAAAGGATACTTATTAAATTATAATATTAAAGAAACTGGAATATGGTTTTGATTGAGATCTTGTTCAAAGGCATCTATGAGATAAAAAATTTCCCATTACTTTAGATGGATCCAGCTTCCATAAAAATAGCCAAAGAGACTTCACTGGCAGAGAAACAAAAACGAGCAAGGTCTGCCACACAACCGCCTTCAAGTGCTATTAGTGAAGTAAGTAAGTTTCCATTTGAACAAAGAGCTGTTATAAGTTGTAGCATATTAATTTTCCAGGTCCAGCTGTGATTTACACGTAACCTTTATCTGAAATAATTAGAAATTTGGACAAAAATTCTATCATGAAAAATTAT